CACGGTGGAGAAGAAGGGGACCAGCATGGTAGCGATACACACAACGGGGTATGAAAAGGCGTCGTTTACTGTTGTGCTTGGCTGCCACGCAAATGGACAGAAACTGCCGCCTATGGTGATTTTTAAGCGAAAGGCTTTGCCTAAAGAGACTTTTTCAGCTGGAGTTGTTATTAAGGCAAATGAAAAGGTGGTTTTTTCCACACATCACCATCGCTGTTAATCTGTGACTCCATGCGTGCCCATCACAGCCGATGTGAAAAAAAAAGGTGAAACAAATGAACGCTGTGCTTGCTGTTATTCCGGGAGCGCCCGGCAAGTTATGCCACAGTTTGCGGATGGATTGTAGATGCTTGGACTAACGTGTCTGCTGGCTCTGTTGTTCGAGCTTTCGTAAAAGCCGGCATTATTTCTGAGGAGCCGCACGGCACGGAAAGTGACTTTGACAGCGAAGAAGGGGAAATTGGCATGTCTGATTTATAAAATAACTATTGTTAAAGACCCTTTTAAAACACTTATAAAAAACTTCTGGAAAATCTAAGTCTGCCGATCTATCAAAACATTTGCATGGTACCATGGTACCCAGAGTCGGAACTTGTATGTTTGTTTTTTTAATTCAAAATAGTTGTTTTGGGACCAAGGCAATAGGATTATAATGCAAATGCACGCCATGTTTTTTCATGCAAAAAAGTCTTTGTCATGAAGCAATTCTTGGAAATAAAAAAAAACCTAAAGTCGTCTCTGGTCAAGGTTTGAAAAGGCACAACACTTTTTTATTCCTTCTAAGTAGAAGTTTATCAATTTAAGATGCAGCACAGACGTTCAGTATCTTTTTTAATATAGCCCTCCCACTACCATCTATCCAAACCCCTCAACCAACCAAGTAAGCTGTTTGCAGAGGGGTCAAAAGTATAGATGCTTATTACTAAAGTAGAAGCAGAAATATAAGTACTACTCTGTTACGTGACACCTCTGCATCGATGCCATCTGGCCCTCTAACCACCGACAGCAGGGCAAGGTTGGCGAACTGTCTTGCATGAAATCACAAAGTAGAAATAAGCAGCTCATTTGTTACAGGATGATAAACCCCTACATTTTGGGCCACCATTGTCCTGAAGGACAAACAATGTTTTCAAATGTAAATCCGCCATAATTCGGTGAGAATAGGATGTTATTTATAACTAAAGTGGAAATAGGTTTGATTGAAAGAACTCACAATTAGCCAGAGGTGTACAGATACTTTGTTACCTTACATACCGTCTTTTCGCAACTATAAGGCGCATATAAACGTCTTTTTTTCCCTCAAAATGTGCGGCGCGCCCTATAGTGTGGTGCGCCCTATGTGTGTTGTTACTGCGGACGTTGTTGAGACCTCCATGAGAACGTTAAAGGGGGAAGTGTGGGCGTGGATTGTGTATAAAAGAACAGGTATTTGCTTTATGCAGAACATTGTTTTCTTAACAACCCTGAAAATGGCAAAGGGACATGCCTATGAAGCACAGTTTAAACTGAAGGCTATCAGCTACGAAGAGGAACATGGAAATCAAGCGGAAGAGATGAAAATTGAACATTTTCAAGGAGGTCCGTCGTGGTGCTTTCGTTTCATGAAACGGTGCAATTTTTCCATCCGGACCAGGACTACAGTAGCTCAGCGACGTCCGGTGGATTATAATGAAAAGCTGGCAAGCTTCCACTCCTACTGCGGCAAACACATCGCCGACAAACGCATCCAGCCAAGCCACATCACCAACATGGACGAGGTGCCGCTCACTTTCAACATCCCGGTGAATCACACGGTGGAGAAGAAGGGGACCAGCATGGTAGCGATACACACAACGGGGTATGAAAAGGCGTCGTTTACTGTTGTGCTTGGCTGCCACGCAAATGGACAGAAACTGCCGCCTATGGTGATTTTTAAGCGAAAGGCTTTGCCTAAAGAGACTTTTTCAGCTGGAGTTGTTATTAAGGCAAATGAAAAGGTGGTTTTTTCCACACATCACCATCGCTGTTAATCTGTGACTCCATGCGTGCCCATCTCACAGCCGATGTGAAAAAAAAAGGTGAAACAAATGAACGCTGTGCTTGCTGCTATTCCGGGAGCGCCCGGCAAGTTATGCCACAGTTTGCGGATGGATTGTAGATGCTTGGGCTAACGTGTCTGCTGGCTCTGTTGTTCGAGCTTTCGTAAAAGCCGGCATTATTTCTGAGGAGCTGCACGGCACGGAAAGTGACTTTGACAGCGAAGAAGGGGAAATTGGCATGTCTGATTTAGCGCAGCTGTTTAATTCAGAAACAGAGGATGATGACTTTGATGGGTTTGATTAATACTTTGTAATAAATACATGAATAAACCACAAACATACTCAGTTTTGCTCCCGCTCTATTTTTAAATACACAGTATAGGTATTTAAACGTAGTAGAGGACATGTACCGGTATATAAAACCTGCGCCATATAATCCGGTGCGCCTTATGTGTGTGTTAAATCCAGAAATGGCCACATAACTGAGACTGCGCCTTTTAGTACGGTGCGCCTTATGGTTGTGAAAATACGGTAAGTAAAAATCTTGTCTATCTATACTTTACTGGAATAGTTCTTTTTTGACGTTTTACTTCAACTCCTTACATATTTTTTTTTTTTTGCAATTATCTCGACTTTCTACTCCTTACATTTTATAAATAGACTCATTGTTTTGTTTCATTTGAGCAAATTTTTCTTTTGGTCTGTTGGTCTTTAAAAACATAAAAACCATAAAAATAATTAGTTTCATCCAGGCAATCAATTTCTTTGTGGTTGGACTCAGTACTGCCCCAACCTGTTGTCTACTAGATTCCAAAATAAATAGTTTTTCAAGATGATGCAAAGTTAAATTCTACACCGTTAACTGTCAGGACTCAGAACGTTGGACCCAGAATTCAGGCAGGCAGACGGGAATGATTTATAAAAAGCTCCTCAGGGCTCTTGATCAGTGGAATCTCTGTAGAGGGAGAAACACAGGTTAGTGACCACGTAACTCTGACGGGAAACAATAGCGAGCATGTGAGTCATTAACTTGGCTTTTAAGTTCAGTCCAAGCCCAGAGGAAGGAGTGGAATCTAGCTGGATGATTTCCCACAACATGCTGCGGAAGCCGCCTAGAGAATTCCAGGAGTAGAAGCCAAAGGTGCGGCAGAGCAGAGGCCAGCAGATGAGGAAGAGCAGGAGCATCCTGAAGGAGAATCCAAAGCCGGTGTCGAAAACGGAAGCAGAACTCCAAGCTAGAAGATCAGAAGAGGTACTGAAGGGAAATCCAATTCAGAGTCAGGAAACAGATGAATGGTCGTTAGCAGGCTGAATCTAATGGAAGTCCAAAGACCAGTCAGGCAAACAGATCAGAACAAGGGCAGGCAAACTCAGAAGTCCAGGAGCAGAAACTAGTCAGGATCAGGCAATGAAAATAACTCACTGGGTACACCAGAGAACTCTTATCTAAAGCCCGAATAATCTGGCACTGATGGCTGGGAACAAGCAGTTTAAATAGGAAGTGGAACAGGTGGATCTTATGAGTGATAATGAAAACTGGGTGGAGCTAAGCAGGTGATTGATCTAAACCAATAATCCAGTCTTCAGTGCCAAGATCATGACATTTACCAGTATCTATAAAACTAAGAAAATTAGGTCTAAGGAAACTATCATCCAGAGTTGTAGAGAAATCGTCATTAAGTAGGACAGTGCAGCAAAACTTCTGTCCTTAACATTTTTTCCTGCATTACTTTTATTTTTATTCTTAAAGTATTTTTATTAATAGTACTTTTACTGCTTTACTTTTAGTTTAGTGCTTTTACTGGAGTAAAAAGTTTAATTTGATCTTCTAACTTATATAAAAGTGTTTTTAAACAGTAGGATTTCTACTTCTCCTGGAGTAATAAATATTAATAATTTTAACACTTCTGCATCTGTATGTCGGCCTCGCTTCAGTTACTCTGCCCGAGGGCAGCAGTGGCTACAATGTAGCTTACCACCATCAGCGTATGAATGTGTTTAACTGGGTGAATGACTGGATGTAAAGCGCTTTAGGCTCCTTGGATTTGACAAGACCATTTAGGAAAAGTTATCTCCAGAGTTCTTGTTTAAGAGATGATACCCTGGTTTATAAGTAAATTGAATTATACAGGAAGGATCAATCCAAACGTGCTTCACTCAGCTCATTGGTTTGAAAAATGACATATTATCAGTGCTATTATGAAAAACAATGTTATATATATCCTTTTGTCATTCATGAACAGGAAAATAACTAATGCTTGCAATACATTTATGGCATTCAGACATTTTTTCTGATCACAGCAGTAGCCTTTTACCAAAATGAACCAGCACAGCGAACTGAGGGGGGTAGTAGTTACTAGAATACACATAAATAACTTTCTGACTCCATTAAACTAGACTAGAGTCTACTCAGCAAACATAGAAGCTGCTCCTTGGTTAAAAACATAAGAAAGTTTCTTCAGGTCTTTAAAACAGCTAATGCAAGATAAAATAATGTGTAATATTCAAGCAACAATTTTTGAAGATTCAGGAAATGCCAAAATAGAAATCAGTTTAATAGTTAAGCAATAAGCTATTGAGAAGGTTGACGGATGCAAAAAGTGTGGATAAATTTATAAGAGAAAACGAGGTTATTCTGGAATAATCAGCGAGTTTGAATGTAAAAAACTTAAGATTTTTAATGCGAAACAGGAGAAAAAATAAAACAAATAGTGACTGATATAAAAAAAACCCCCATAAAGATAAAACTCCATCCCCCGAGGGCCCCGGTTCAGCCCTAAGGGAGATACTAAGACACTCTGACGTGATGTTTTGTTAAAGTGAGACATTTGACTTGGAAACACTGAAGAGCTGAGTGCAGGCGAACCTTTGGGATGAGTTTGACTTTTTCATTTGCCTGCAGTTCGTCACTGAATCACACGTTTTGCATCAAAAGCTTTAAGCCTTTATGCGATTTAACAGCCTATTTGGTAACCCCACAATCATTCCTCATTACAGTAGATGCTTCCTTCACAGGTCTGCAGGGAACAATCATAATGGAAAGAAACATTTTGGGATTCTTGCTTTTTTTAAGTCAGTGACTCTTTTTTGTGAACTTGATAATGAAATCAGCTTAACTTATACTTACTAAGAGGTTTATTTGAATTTTTTTTCAGATTGCCTTGGCCTTTCCACCACTATTTCTCGCCATTACTACTTTTTTAGCCAACCTTTGACCTGGAGTGACGCTCAGACCTTCTGCAGACAGAAACACACAGACCTGGCAACTATAGAAAACTCTAAAGAGCTTGACCTGCTTTATGAAACGCTTTTGTCTGCAGGTCACAGCTCTGACGTCTGGATTGGTTTGTATAATGAAATCGACTGGAAGTGGTCGGACGGGTACAGGGGGACTGGGACTGACTACAGGCAATGGCAAACAGCTTATAATGAACCAGATTTTAAAAATGCCATTCAGTTCTGTGTGCTTTCTGGGTATTTAGGAAATTGGTGGGACGATTTGTGTGCAAGAAAGCTTCCGTTTATCTGTAACACAGGTAAGGGGATCCAGCATGGCTCACTGTGTAGGATTAAAAACCATTGTTCACCTCTTTAACACACCTTTCCTGCCAACAGGGACACAACAGGGGGCTACGTTTACTTATCAGAAGGAACAAATGAATTGGTCTGACGCTCAGACGTTTTGCAGAGAAAACTTTGCAGATCTTGCAACTGTAAAGAACGATGCTGAAAATCAGATGATTGCTAAATTAATAACTAACGAGGCATGGATCGGCCTGTTCAGAGAGCCAAATCTTTTTTGGTCTGATGGCAGCGACTTTCTCTTTAGCAACTGGGATTCTGTCCAGAATCAAATTGGTTCCATGAATGTCACATGTGGTGTTACATCTTCTGGCAAATTGGGAAAATGGAAGTTTCTCTCTTGTGAAAAACAATTACCATTTGTCTGCTACAGTGTCAGTGGTGAGCATTTTAACACCATAACCAGAATCCACCTTAAAGTTATCTATTTAAACTTTCGATGTTTACCGAAACATTTGAACAATAATCCAATATCTCTCCTATTCTTGATGAACCAGAGTTCAAAAAGGTAGTGAAGCTGAGGCTGAAGATGGAGGACTCTGTGGATCTGAACGACCCTGCTCTGAAAGCAAGCATCTTGAAGAAGGTAAGCCTGAAAGTTAGACAGATATGGAACCTTGTATCAAACAAACAGTCTTTAAGTTTTCCAATGCTGTAAAAATTTGTAGGAAAAATACATACAGAATACATACAGAAAAAATTTCAATCAACTTTCATCAACAAAGATTTGCATCATAGCCTGCGACACAAGTTTCAGCGTAGCACGGTGTCTGGCGTGGGACTGCTGTAAACAAATTGGCGGCTGCACTGTAATTAAATTATACAAGCTTATTTTTGTTTACATACTCTTCTTACCTTATCAATAGGCTGCTGTTTGCAGGCTATTTCATTGCACTGTTGCCACAGCAAGGGGGGGGGGATTGTATTGTTACTGTGGTTTGAAGAGGACTGCATTTTATTTCTTTGTGGAGGATTACAGCAGTCCTATTATGTGCATTTGATTCTGTTTCAGATCCTCAATAATAACAGAAAAAATCTGATTTCTTTATTGTATGTCCATAATTCTACTGATGCAAGAGAATATCAACAAAGATTTGCATCATAGCCTGTGAAACATGTCTCAGCGTAGCACGGTGCCAATCGTGGGAATGTTGTAAACAAACTGGTGGCTTCACTGTAATTAAATTATACAGGCTTATTTTCGTTTCCATACTCTTCTTACCTTATCAATAGGCTGCTGTTGGCAGGCTGTGTGTTATTGCACTGTTGCCATAACAAGGGGGGGTGGGGGGGGGGGGGGGGGGGGGGAGGATTGTATTGTTAATGTAGTTTGAAGAGGACTGCATTTTATTTCCATGTGGAGGTTTGAAATTACAGGAGTCCTATTATGCACATTCCATTTCTTTTTTTAAATCCTCAAAATAAAAATAAACCCCAAAAATCTGGTTCCTTTATTGAATTTCTATATTTCCACTTAAGCAAGAAATGTCATATATGGGACAGATGGGAAGGGACAATGGGAAGATTCAAAACGTTTAATGACAAAGAAATAATAAGACAGAATAGAAACATGGGAGGCGGGGCACCGCCTGATCACTGACACTCTGGAGTGATCATGATCATCTGACAGAAGATAATTATCTGAGTGAGTTACGTACCTGGTTTAACAGTTCAGTCCATCCTCTCCGAAGAAGGAAAGATCCAGACCATCGACTGCAAAAAGAGATGTGGCTCAGAGCGTCCAAAGTGTCCCAAATGCAGCAACCCCAGTGAGCAGGCAGGAGACAGATTCAGGTCAGAGAAACAGTTCAGAACCGGAGAGTTCCGAGTTTGAGGAGTCTGTAGCCCGACCAGGGGTTCTGATCCGAACAGGAACAGACAGATCCAGGGTTCCAGGAATCCTCAGAGCATGAAGGCAGGTTCAGTGTGCTATGAGTCCAGCAGTGAGCTCAGACAGATACGCTCAGATGGAGACAGGCAGGCTTAGTCGTAGAGAGGAACATAGACAAGGCACGGTTCCAGGATAAATGCCGAACTTTAAACTGGTCTCCTTGGAGCCAGGCTTACAGGAATTAAAACTCACCTTCCCCGCATTCTGAGCCAAAACCCTGACCTCTCCGCGGAGAAGTACCAGAACCCGCGTTTCCCCTGCATGCCGAGTGAAAACCCTGAAGGCTCAGCGGATAGGTTAAGAGCTGGGACACGCTAAAGACAGGGAGACAAACACCAAACCCTGTCAATCCACAGGCCTCCAAGAGGCAAGAGATTAACTAGGAACTTAACTCTGATGAAACAAAGAGGAATAACTGACAAAACATGACATGAACAAACTAAGAATACCCGAATAAAGTAAAAAATAGACAAATAATGATCTGGCCCCAATAGCTTGACTGAACCGTATATATAGCAGAGGGAGCAGGTGAATAAAAATAAATGATAATTAGAGAACGGAGAGGGAACGGCGGGTGAATCAAGTGAGTAATTTAATCATCTACGGGGCTACAATCATGTCAAGAAAACATAATAAATTAATTCTGTGTTATCCTGACTGCAGTGTAGCAACTGCCGCTATAAAACTAGCTAAATTCTTTCTTGATAAACAAAAACGGGAGTTGTAGTAATCTGTAGTTGCTCTTTACTGTGGCTCTTTTCTTGGAAGTACAAGGTAAGAGTGAAAACTGTAACGAGAAAAATACAAAAATGACCGTTAAATGTAAATTTAGCCACAAATAAATCAAACGCATTTCCATGTAAATACTACTTTTTAACATCAACTTATAAATGTAATCATGAAATTATCAACTTACAACGTTGCCACTGTGATATCAACAGTGATAAGGTAGTTGAACACAGAAATGTTGCAAAATGTGAATTCCGCTAACCTCCAACTGCCTCTAACTGCCGTATTAACTTCCCGTAAAAATTCAAAAAATATCCACTGGACTTGGTTTTCAAGATTTGAAGACGTTTCGCCACCTCTCCAGGAAGCTTTCTCAATTCAAATGTCTGGATCCGCAGTGAGTTTGAGTCTTATATAGACAACGCCTTGTATCGCTTGGAAACATGCAATGGTAACCGATGAATGGGTCGTAATACGGCCGTATTAACTGAAAATAAACCTGAGATGTGGAATGTTATAGTTAAAATGGCCCTTCAAAATAAGAGCTCCTTCAAAACAAAGGTCCATTCAGATTCATGCCTGAAAGGCAACACAAATACTGTAATGGGAAATATCAAATATTGTACAGCAGATTAGTCACATGGTGTCATTTTTCTCCAAGATGAGCTGCAGGGGAAATGTGCATTTATCCATAAGTGCTTATTATGGATCTAGGCCTACTTAGTCATTTTGATAGTGGGCTAATATACATTTAGTGCCCTTAGGAGGCTTATATAAGATCTTAACATTTTTGCAGCTCCAGACAGATCTGTTTTTGGGTTCAATGTGGCTCTTTGAACAGTTTGGGTTGCCCACCCCTGGTCCATGGGATCACATCCCAATAAAACACAATTTAGAATTTAACTACAAATGTGAAAATTGAAAAAGTTATGATAACCTCTTCAAGGCACTGCACATTTCATTAGAATAAGAATCTTTGTATTTCAAAGATTCTATACTTTGCTTAAAATTTTTTCTTATGACTTCTGTTCTGTGTGTGTCCCCCAGCTCCAAGACAGACTACAGGACAGTGGAATGGGTGGGGCGACCCTGAAGTGGAACGAGCAACCTGATGGAGGAGTTTTCAAGAAAGAGATAGACACTGAGATCTGATTTATGATCGCAGATTCATTTATGATAGCTTGTTTTTAATATATGCTTAAATATACTAACTAATATGAGTAACTTTTTCATTTCAACTCCCAGAAAACTGCAAACGTGCTGACACACTGTTTCCCTCAACTGAAATATAAAATGATGCTTGTTAGGAGTTTATGTTTGCATTTAAAATTTCCCTTCACTTCTTACCTTTTTATAATCATCTAATTTTTGTAATTTATTTTATGCTCATAAATAGTAGAGTTATTTTCTTAATCCAGCTTATGAGTAGATACAGTAGATAGTGGTAGTAAAAAACTTTAAACAAATCTGACAAAATGATCTGTTTGAATTGTTTCTGTAAAGTGCCTTGAGTTTTGAATTGGTGCTATAATAATCAATAAATTGAGTAATTAAAGATATATAAACTGAAAATTTGCTTTGCATGGCTGGAGTTTATATACTTTACTCAGGCATACTGTTAGGGTTAATGATAATAACCCCTTATTGTCCTAGAAATAAACCAACAAAAGACATAACGTAATTGACTTTTCTGCAGAAGAGGAGAGTGGATCCCGGAGGAGAATAAGAATCCCTGAATGTCTTTGGTCAACTGTCTCTGTCCTTGCCTTTATTATCGGACTTAATACAAATAAAATGATAACGTTTACATTTTTCACATACCATTATAGCCCCATACCAAAAGGTATATATAAGGTATTTTTCCCCTATTGTAATCCCCATGTCAGCTCTTTGCTTTGGGGCAGCAGGTTGTTCTCTGAGATGTGGTCGATGCAGATTTAATAGTTATTCAAGAAAATTCAACAGATGCTTGATGGGATTGTGATCTGTGGATTTTGGAGTCAAAAATGATTGATTCTGAACAGTCCAGGTTTTTTTTTTTACCCCTTCTACTCTCTGTAACCTAGCTAGTTAATAATCCACTACCTTTGGCACATCCATCAACTTTGAAGCAGACAAAGGTAGTGGATTATTAACTCGCGGAATCAGACATTATACTTTATGAGGGGCTGTTGAGCTGGAAAAAAAAGGATGTTAATGACAATCTGAAAAGAAAGGTGAAAAGAAAGAAAATATCACGAAAAAACTTGGCATATTATTCAAAACTAAATCAATAAACATTCCAAATATGCAGCCATATTGGCATATTATTGTTATGGATGTAACTTTTGATTTATTGAGAAATTTCATCTGAATTAGTTTTTTCCCCATTGATTTACCATTTCACACCATAAATGATTAAGAACTTTGTAAACACGTCTTTTAGAATGGCTTAATTTGTACATTAAAACATATCTGACAGTGAATAGTTTTCACATAGGAAATGCAATCAGTATTTTTTTTAAAAATGTATATAGATGTGCTCTTTATCTGACGATATTGTCCTAAAATTAAATTTATTTTTATTCATTTATCTATATGGTACATCTAATGCCAATGATGTGAGCCTCCAGCATAAATATGTCCGTCTTCAAATGCTTATGAGCTTTTGATGACAGGATATTTTTTTCCTAACGTATATTAATGCTAAGTGTTAAGTAGGGTTCCTATTCTAATTACACATCAAGATGTCCAAAAAGATCAGTTTTGGCTTCTAGCAATAACAAGCTTGTGCGTCATTCATGTTTATTTTTGTGTTGGTTAAAAAAAGAAAAATGCAAATCCTGTTTTCTTACATCAACATTCAAGTAGAGGTAGAGGCGTCGATAATGTTTTCCTGCAAAAGATAATATCCAAATGTATTATGAAGGATCAGATCTTTTTGGTTCACTGACTCCTTTGTTTTGATCTACAGCAATTTTTGGTGGCTCCAATAAAAAATATATACTTTCCTCAAAGCAAATTTAAAATTTAAATGGTTTTCTCAGAGTGACATTCATTAATCAAAGACAGAAAATTTGGAAACAGATGAAATATCTGATTGTTTTATGATGTTAGGTATCCCCTCTTGGATATTTGAGAACAGAAATATTGGCATATGACAACTGTTGAAAATAGCTGTTTTGAAGCTCTGAAATAATTCAAACCAGAAACCACAGTAAGATTTCAGCACAAGATGACTGTCTTGAGTGAAATATCGCTTTTTCCTGTCTCCTCCCCGCTATCTGACCGCTGTCAGTAAAAAAACTTTTGTATGTACTGCCAATAAGTATCGAGCAGCAAGCTTCACGACCCGCCTCTGCTCCATAGACCTCCAAGACCTTTACCCTCACTGGAAGGGACGTATCTTTACATGTTATCCAATCAGGGCCCTAGTTTCTTGCTGGTCACTTTAATGCAAGGAAAGAGGGAAAATCCATGTGGTGAAGACATGGTCATGAACCTGGTCAGGTAACATGAAGTTCTGGATCCTGCTTGCTTGGTAGCTTGCAATTATCTGGCCCTGTCTTCCTGCCAGAGACGGACTTATAACTGCTTAAGCACAGCTGAGAGACTTGCTGCTGATTGCATTGCAATGTAGCAGGAAGCAGCTTGATTGACACAGGGAGTGCAGGTCAGGCGGACGGGTCAGAATTATAACATACCATCTAAGGAAGACTTAGATGATAACTATATAGAGGCATTTATGGTGGTTTGGTTAATGAATAAAAATCACCAATTGCAGTTATAATTTAAAACTTCTCACATTAAGTCGTGTTTAAAGTTGTAGGAAAGCGGTTGTTCCAACCATTGCATTTCCGAATTCTCCCCAGTGGTGCCTGACTTTACACGAGCGAATTGTCATGATGTATTTAAGAGATCTGACCCACATACAGAAAACCACTCAGAGAAACCAGAGAAAAGTTTGTTAGGTTTATTGAGGAGTTCAAAGGGTTGGATTCGGAAGAACTCAGAGAGCTGGTGAACCGGAACTGGAACTGAGAAGGGAAGTTCACAGAGGTTAGTTCAGGGTCCGTGGGAACTTTAAACGACGTCTTAAAAACACGATTGCGGAGAAAGGTTTCCTCCCTGAATACAGTTGGTGCAGGTGTTTCCAGAGATCGAGGGGCTCAGTGGAGGGCGGACAGGTCTTTTGGTTTGGTTGGTTCCTGACGAGCAAATGGAGCGGACTGCCACTTAGATTTCTTGGAGAACTTGAACGGGACGTGTGGTGATGAGTCCCCTGATCAGTGTGAATTACTATAGATCCTTCTAGGGGGAGAAGGCCAAACATCCAGTATGCAGGATGACTGCCTGCCGAAAGGCAAAAGACTAAGGTTACGTTAGGCTCAGAGAAAAAAAAACTCAGTTACTGTAGACTGAGCTAAACTCAGCTTGGCTAGAGTGCCTAAAACTGCCAAACACTGGCGTCGAAGTAATGGCAGTCTACCGCTTAAGTCCTCAATAATGAGCCAACCAGGCGCAGGTGTGTGGGAGGACCAACGAAAACAGGGCACCACCTGGTGGTGGAGGGGGAAAAACACAACCCACAATGACTGGATTTTTCTAACATGAATAAGGTGAATGTGATTGGTCGTTTATCAAGGGGGCGGGATTGGAATTTCACCTGACATGTGACCCTGCGGGAGTATTGACCTTTAGCCATACACCCAACACAGCCGGCGTCATTGGAAACTCTAGGCTCAGACCTTTCTAGGGAGGGGTCAGAGGTCATTGTGCGACCATTTCAGGTAATGTAACCGGCGTGTACATAAGCTTGCTCTGTTATTTTTATTTTATTTTCAGTTAATGATATTATTTTGTGTTCAATGGTAAATTTCAATGAAACTGCAGCTAAATCTCAGGAGCAAATGCTTTGCCTTATGCAGAAGGTCTCAAATTATGTAAATCAGCATATTTGTCTTGCCAGTTTCCCTTTTTGTGTGAAAAAATGCATTTGGCACAATTTGGCCACTTTTGCCACCAATCATAGGCGGAGTTTCACTTTTGCATGGGGGTGGGGGGTAGTTTTTTTCACACGAACATGTTCTCACTATGATGTGCGTGTGTGCACACACATAAAGCTCATAACGCATAATGGCACAAGTGATTAGATAATTTTCAACACAAGTTGTTACATTACTGTATACAGTACAATGTAGTTGCTAGGAGTATTCATTTAAGAAAAGTCTTACCTAGTGCAGATAAAGCGAGTAAACAAGTATTCAAGCCAACAATACTTTTTGTAGTAGTACCTGGAAAAGGCTCGTTTAGGCTTTCCAAACGATCTTGAAGGAGATCCGGAGAATAGCGGCTTAGTACAGCAGTGGCAGTTCATTTGGTAGCTGCTGTGCTGTAGTACAGCTGCTACGCAAGCTAACTGACCCAGATGACAGCCCTGCAAGATCAGATGGTGAGCTAGCTGAGTTTGCAGAGCTGATCCCAGGTGTTTCCAGATCAGCATTTGTTGGTACTGGCTCTGGTTCGAATTCTTGCAGAGTGTTGGCAGAGGTCAGGGGGTGTTTTAAAAAACGTTGAATATCCATTTGCAGTTTTCACTCACTTACATAAGGCAATTGTATGCTATAACTTTTACATACAGGCTAGCGAGATTGATAATGAGAGGGAAACCACCAAGTAGTGGACAGTTTGGTTTTATTTCTAAATCACCTCAGTTTGAACATATATAATGATATACCAACGATCACGTGATAAAAATTCTGAAGTTTTTAAATGAATCACAACTTTAACCATCTGAATAATAGAGCTAACAGAAAACAAAAGCTTCCAGAAAGACCCTCAGTAGAAAAATTATAGTACCTAATAAGTAACCCATTTTCCTTTACATCACACATACGTTTCATACAAGCATTAACATAAAGAATAACATAAAGTAAAACTCTGCTTATCAACTTAATGTTTTGGTGGATATTTGTGTTGCCTAGTTTAAACTGACCAATCAGGAAAAATATTAGCTTGTCTGGTAGAGCAGTTGACCCTGCTGCCTCCCTGAAAAAACTTTGGGCTTTAAGTCTGCTCTTTCTAAAGCTTCCTTTATTTCAATTAGGGATTTTCTCCAAGAACCTGTCCTGCCTCTCCCGGTTTAACAAGTGCAATATTTACACTTTCTTTAGACTTGTGTGTATTCATAGGATTGTCTTGGGTTATATATCTTTATTGGACCCGTTACAAACATTGTATTGAAATCCTGATTGTATGATGTTAAACTGGTGGGTTGAAGTGTATACATGTCTGAGCCAATTCCAGCTAT